ACGGCAGGTGTAATTAATATTTACTGGGCGCTTTTGCGTGCCAGGAAGGAATTTTTAAGTGCGTTAAATGGGGAAATGCGGCTAGTCTTTTATAAAACGGGGGCTAATTTTGTAAAATTTCTTTAAAGGTCTGGGTACCTAGAATTTCACCATTAATATTTACTTGAGTAAAACATTACCCCAGCAGTTAAAATTTTTTTTTTTTCTTGGAGAAAAACAACTGTAAATAGATCAAGACCTCAACCAGCCTCCTCCTTCCCCACTTTGGTAGGCTGCAGGTGCCATGAGAGGGGATGAGAGTGCTGACTTGGACTTAGTTCAGGTTCTGACTCTGTTTCCTACTTTGTGAGACTGAAGTAAACACCCCTTCCCTGCCTGTCTCAGGATTGTTGTCAGCCTGTTCCTTTTCCCCTTCTGGGTTGAGTCTTCACATCTGTGGATGGAAGGAGATTGGGAACATCAGAGAACATCCAGGACTTCACTAGATTTCCCAACGTGGGTGAAGGCTGTTCTTCTCCCAAGCTTCTGTATTCAAGCCCTTCTAGAACCCCTCAGTCCAATCTGAAGGACCTGATATATGCTGACCTCTTCAACACATCACCTTCCAGGCCCACCCAAGCTTCAAGTCCTCAGAGGCCTTGCTGGTCTGTTTACCTCTCTGTTCCCTGTCTCAATAGCCAGCTGGTCCTGAGTCACTCAGGCCTCTGTTCCAATCCAGGTTCTCAAAGTTGCTATGTCCCCCCACATGGCAACCAAGTTCAGTTAACATCGGATGAGGGTTCTGGGGGGCTCAGAGGGAGGGCTCTCCCAAAGCAGGTGGAGGTCCAGCCACGCTTGTGGCTCATTTCACAACACATTCCATAACTCCCTGGGAGATAGTGGAGAGAGTGGCAGCAGGAAACATCAAAGAGGCTGCACTGTTCATGGGTGACAAGGGTGGTGGAGCAACCTTTACTCAACAGGGGGATGCTATGCCCAGGGTGGAGAGGATGGATTACTCCTTCGTCCTGTGCTCCAAATATTGTTATGGTCTTGAGCCAACAGGAAAACAAAGCCTAGCCTGGCTTCCTAACCAAGCTGCCACTCTACCTCCAATTCATTGCCTCTCCCAGGACCCTCCCCTGCTAGGTTTTGCCCTATTGGGGTGGGGGCTCTTTTCTCTGCATCACTGAGACCCCAGCTCTTTTTCTTCTTTCTTCCTTTTTTTTTTTTTTTAAAGATGACCTTAACCCTTGACTTGGTGTTGTCAGCACCACACTCTCCGAAGTGGACTAACCGGCCATCCCTATATAGGGATTCAAACCTGTAGCCTTGGTGTTATCAGCACCACACTCTCCCAAATGAGCCATGGGCCAGCCCTCTTCCTTTCTTTTTTTTACCTCTGCTTATTCTTCTCTAAGCATTCCTCTCTGAATATCTCAAAGCAACTTTTTGCTGGCTTCCTGATGTATTTACAGACATTCCCATGTAAGGTGCAAGACTTGGGCCACACAGATCTAGCTAAACCTACCCTCACTGCCATAGTGTATTTCAAAATGACCATGCACCTAAAACATGGACTTTCTAACAGTCTGAGCTGTCCAATGATTGAGGAGGTAGTGAGTGATCTGTCATAGGTGTGCAAACAGCACCCTTTAGAATGCTGGACTTGGGCCTCTTCTGGTGAGTCAGAAGAAGGGGCAGCAGAGTGGAGGGCCTTCCAGATCCTATAGCAATGAAAGGAGGGAGGAATACTGGAGCTGAGAGGGAAGCCAGCCAGCTGGCCAAAAATGAACTTGATTCAACAAGCTATTATATGTTAGGCTCTTAGAACTGTACCTGAGACACAGTAAGCATTAGCTATTACTGTTACTACAGTAGTCCCTCCTTATGCACCGAGGATAAGTTCCAGGACCCCCAGTGGATGCCTAAACTGTGGATAGTACTGAAGCCCATATATACTATGTTTTTTCCTTACATACATACGTATGATAAAATTAAGTTTAGAAATTAGAGACAGTATGAGATTAACAACAAAAATAATAAAATAGAATGGTATAACAATATGGTGTAATAAAAGTTATGTGAATGTGGTCTCTCTCAATATATTTTGTTGTACTGAACTCACCTATTTTCAGACTGCAGTTAACCATGGGTTAAACCACAGAAAGTGAAACGGTTGATAAGGGGGACTACTGTACTGTGAATGACTGTAATGAAGGACCTTAGAGATCAATCAGCCCTTCACTCTGACTCCTGATCATGAAATAGATGGGGAAGTTGAGGTCTAGACCGGGAAGGGACTTGCCATGGAATCTTGGTGGCTGGGTTGGGACTGGAACTCAGGCCTCCCTGTAGAGCCCCTGCACAAAGCCAGGCTGGCTCCTTGCAGGAAGAGGCTCTAGGTGGGCCTTAGTTGACTCTTAAGAACCAAGCTAGTTTTTAACTCCTGTCTGGGCAGCTTGTGGGTTAGGAGCAGTGGAATGACAGCAAGACAGGAGCCAATAGACTCAGGTGTCTCCTGGGAAGTAAGCTCAGGAAACAGTTGTGTCTTGAAGAGGGCCTTTCAAATCCTTTTTCCATGGGAATTAGCCCCATGTCCTTCCACCCCCACTTTGAGCTCCAGCCAGCAACAAACATCTTCCTCTTGAGAATAGCTTCTTCTTCTATAATTAGGGTTGGGACTATATTTTTACGCTGTCCTTTTACCCATTAGCTCCCAAAACCACCCAGATTATGGGGATGGGGTGAGAATAGCCAGTGCTAAGTGACCTGAACTGAAACAAGGAGAGATTCCCCATCAGCTTGAGTTCCCAGAAGGCAAGGACCAGCTCTCCCCACCCCAAGGGTCCTAGCTTAGTCTGGTCTAGAATTCCCAGAGCCCTGGGAGAAACTTGGTGTCCCCACCCTGCAGAGATGGGCCAGACATGACCACACCAGCTAGCCTTCCACGTGGTCCAGGATCTCAGGACAAAAGATCTTCTCAGCCCCATTCTGGCTCAGCTCCTTCCACAGTTTGCCAGGAGCCATGTGGCACCCAGACCACAGCTTCCCACCAGTGGCTGCTTTAGTTTGCCTCCTTTATTTTACCAAAAATAACAATAAAATCTTCCCTCTGTTTCACAAAAATAAATTTTCCCACTTCCCCTCTCCACAATCAGTCCTTGCCAAAGCCTAGAATCCATCTTGTAAGCCACAGTCCACCCTAGGGGAAGCTCTAACTCCCCTTACTCCAGACCCTCTGGCAAAGCTGCCAGGCAAGCATTTTTTCTCTTGGGAACTTCTCTGGAGGCAGCAGAGGCAGCAGTCTCAGGCCCAGCTGGCGGGCCCCAAGATCACCATCTGTTTCTCCAGAGGGCAGGCAGCTTCTAGGCCATTGAGAGGGGCATGATTTTGGAGGCTTGGCTCAGCAGACAACCCTGGCCAATCCCAGGGGCAGTGAGACACTCTGGCATCAGGCTAGAAATCCTTGCTGAAAGCAGGAACAGTTGTGTCCTGGGGAGGGTCTCTCAAACCCTTTTTCCATGTGCATTTCTGTGTAGCAGTCAATGGGCCCTGTGGTGGGAGTCAGAATCCCTGGTTTCTACTCCAGCTCCACAAAAACCTCACTGTGAGGCCTTGGACAGGTTCTCCCTCCTCTTCTTTTGGCTTCAGTTTCCTCCTATGTACATTAAGAGAGTGAGACTGGATGATTCTTAGGTCCCTTTTGGCTCTTCATCCTGGCCTCCCAGAGAGGAGGCTCTGGGAGGGCAGAACTCAGTTCCTGCCTCAGTTTACCTATCTGGGTCTGGACATGGAGGTACTGAATAATGGAGTGCTGAATGAACATCCTGGTCTCTATGGATAGCTGTGTTCTGAGATCCAGCTAAGCTGGAATGTCTCAGGGATGGTTGGGAGGGATGAAGGTACTTTTAGGATGGGGTCTCTCCAAGCTGGAAAAGTCCATTCACCAGCTACATGATCTTTGAAGTCCTGGGATGGGAGACAAAACTCCAGAGTTCCCATTTCAAATTCCACTAGCTCTTTGGGCTGGAGGATTATTTTGTGCTGGGCTTCAGATCCTAGGAGCCAAGTCTGTAGATTCTGGGAGCTAGATTGGAGTACATGATTCCAAATTTAAGGGCAAGGAACCTTTGTGGACATAAGGAATCATACCCAATCCCCAGGATGCTGTCTATAATCAGTCCCTTTTGGAGGTGGAGGGATGAGTGAAATGATAGCTCATGGGCATCCGTGGCTGAGCAAATCAGAACCTGTGTCTGGGGCTGAGCCCGTGGCGCACTCGGGAGAGTGCGGCGCTGGGAGCGCAGCAGCGCTCCCGCTGCGGGTTCGGATCCTATGTACAGATGACCAGTGCGCTCACAGCACTCACTGGCTGAGCGCGGTGCGGCCGGTCTCAAAAAGGACAGACAAAAAAAAAAAAAAGAACCTGTGTCTGTGGTGGGCCAGGGGTTTAGGAACTCAGGGCAAGTCTCCCCTTCCTACCTCCCCCAGCTCTCCAAGACTCATGATGATGGAAGATGGTAGCCTGGAAAGTTCAAACATGGGACTCCATCTACAACCACATTTTGTGCACTTACACATGTGGTCAGATACACTGAGCAGGGACACTGACCTGTCACCACTGCTACAGTGGTCATGGTCTGATGGTCTCAGTCTTTTTACCTGTTTATCCATCCATCCATCCATCTATCCATCCAACATTTATAGAGAGCCTACCATGTGCCAGAGAGGGTCTAAGGCAGCTAGTTCTTACAGACACACACACACACATGCACACAGAGGCATCTGTGCTCACTCATGCACAGGCTGCTCACTCCCTCGCACCTTTCTTGACATTACCTCAGCCACATCCGATTCCCCAAATAGGCTTGGGAACCACCATGGAAGGGTAAAGTATCAGAGAAGAAATCTTCTGGCTACCCTACTCCCAGACTTCATGCCAGAGGTTTAACTCCTCCTTTCTCCCTGTTTGCCCACCTTGAAGCCTTCCCCTTCTCCGTTCACAAGGAGTCAGGGGGACATATAAGCAGACTCCTGAGAACCAGAAGTCCAGAGGCTTTGGGTGTGTGGAGGGTTCCCAGGGCCTTCAGACTCTTCTACCACCAGGCTCCTGAGGGTCCCCTCCCCCACCACCCTGTCTTCAGATGGTCCATCTGACAGGCAACAATGTCCAGGCCTGGGCTCAGTTACAGATCCGCTCTGTCATCTCCCTCTGCAGAGATACAAGGTGGGAAGGGGTCGGTCAGAGCTCAGCCTGTCAGGCAGCCCCTTCCCAAGTCACAGGGCCTAGCAGCTATTCTGCTTGCACCTGGTCCCTTCTGCCCCCTAACCCCAACTCTAGGCTACAGATTTGGGCTTGCAAACTGACACTTGAATGAATTCTCTATTAAAGTACAGAATCCGCTGTTAAATGAATTGCCTTCCCCTAGTTTATCCACTTGGGTATTGGAGTTTCTTAAAGCAGGTAGCCTTTGGATCTGAAAACTCACAGAGCCTAGCTTTGGTGGGGAAGGGCAGTGGGGACTTGGCCTCACCAGTGGCTCCAGCTCCCTCTGGTCCACCAGGCTGAACTCGCGGATGAAGTAGTAGAAGTGCTTGTAGCAGGTGTTGACATGCGCCTCTGCCCCCATGCTGAGGATGCTGTCGAAGTGGTGGATGTAGACATGGACAAAGACTCGAAAGAGGCGGGTCAGGATCTTGGTGCAGACCTGCTGGAAGTTCTTGGGGAAGGGAACTCCTAGAGGGTGGGGAGGGGCAGAAGGGGGATAAGCACTCTGGTGACAAAACTCTGCCCAACCCTGCCCTCCCACACACAGGCAGCCTTTGTCCAGGATGGCTTTTTCCCCAGCACACACTTCTCAGCACACTTCCCTCTGGGAGACAGAGTGGTTTCACTTTCTTCCATATTTTTCTTTTTAATGAAACACAAATCTGACTGTGACTTCCCTTCCTGAAACATAAATCATCTTCCACATTTTCTCATAGCCTAAAAGCAGGGCTTTGCAACCTTGTTGGGGATCACTGACCAACCCTCTTTAGACTATGATGAAAGTTATGGCCCAAACTCTCCTGCCAAATATGTGCATCCGCAGAGATGCTCACATCATACCTTTGTATGCAATTCCAAGGGGAGTTCACCAATGTCTGGGTCTGTTTTTAAAAACCTCGGCCTTCAGGATTAAGCCTGACTTCCCAGCATGGCACTGCTCAAGGCCTTTCTTAATCGGATCCTGATCTCCCTCTCCAGCCCCACTCTGAGTCCCTCCTCTTTTCAGCATTCACACAGCGGGCCTGACTTCCAATCCTGAAAATTACTAATTCTTCAAGAATTAGTTCATATATATCCCATTCTTTCAAATATTCAATAATACAAAGGACCTTCCGTCTATGAACTGGTCCCTTTGCCTTTTGCCTCTAGTCCTGACAACAATTCTGCTGATTGGTATGACAGACATTCTGCATATGAGAAAACGGAGGTATATAAGGGTGAAGTCAGTTTCCCAAAGCAACATAAGCGTTAATTAGTACAGACTGGAGACAGGATTCACACCCTCTCTGCACTGTACCCTGCCTGCAGTAAGCAGTTTCTGTACATCCCCCCACACTCAGGGCGGAGCTCTTGGTAACTTATGCCTTCTTTGCTGTAGCAGAGTCATCCCAGGGTTAAAGGCTGGGGTCTCACAGGCCTAGGGAGGTAAGTCTAGAGGGAATAAGGGCCCAGATTCAGGTCTATACTGACCCACCCAGCTCATAGACCCTTTTTCTTCCTTGCTGCTCTCAGGTGGGGTTGAGGCCTGCCTCCTTGTGAGCCCTTCCAGGTGCAGACCAGGCCCCTCAGACTTATCCTGCCCATCTAGACTTGGGGTCCTGGGCTCCAAGTGACCTGAGTTCCAGTTTTGAGCCTGTCCCAATTCAGTGCACTTTCCTTTTGGCCTCAGTTTCTTCCTATGTAAAATGAAGGTGCTCATTCTTAGACATGATAGTGCAGGAAATGGAAGGCCACGGGCTGGGGAGGAGCCATGGGCATTGAATTGTGACTCAGTGCCCAGATTCCCTCAGCATTCAGACTTTTCTCCTTTGGGCTTGACCACCCTGCCCCACCCATCTCTGATTCCTATAGCCTTAGCAGGGATGAACATGAGGCCAGGTGGAAGCTGGGGCCTAGGGTGCAGGTGGGGCTGCTATGATGAAACACGGTGTCATAGCTGCTCAGCTCCCCGACCAAAACCCTCCTCCTGCTGCCCTTGGGTGGGGAAGCAGGGCCAGGGTGACATCACCCATCTCTCCTCCCCATCCTCACTGGCTGAGGCTGCCCAGCTGCAATAAGAAAAGGCCCCATGGCCGGGCCTGACAAGGAAAATTTTTGCCCTCAGAGCCCCAGTCTGAGGTGAAGATACCATCTGCCTGCCACCACCTCCACCCCACGGCCAACCCCTTCCCTTTCTTGTGGCCAGAGTGAGGGGGAGCTCCCCGGAGACTGGAGGTCAAATCAGCCCAAGCACTGGGACCTGCTATGAATACCTTGGGGCACCTGTTCTGGGAGGTTCTGAGAGTCATAGTGTCTGTGGTCTTGCCAGAGTGGTCCCTGGTGACACTCAAGCTTCAGACAAGAAGAGCTCCAAATTGGGAGTCAGGCAGTCCTGGTCAAATGCTTGACCTTGAGCAAGACACTTAGCCTGTCTCGGCCTCAGTTTCCTCTTCTACAAAACTAAATGGCTCGTCTGCGGAAAGGGCTCCCGGTGTCTCCCTCCCTCCCTGGCCCAGGCCTGCCTGCGGGCCAGGCGCACTCACCAACACGCGTGGGAAAGACGTCCTCGTCGTTGATGAGGCCCTCGATCCAGTCCATGAGCAGCGCCATGTAGCGTGGCGCCGAGAGCTTGGCCGGCCGCCGGTACTGGCGCTCGTCCTGCCAGCGGTACTCGTAGCGGGGCCCGCCGGCCATGACCGGGCAGCTGGTCTCGCTGCAGCGCTCAGCCATGGTGCCGTAGATGAGGTTGATGCGGTTGAAGAAGTCCACCACGTGCACGGCGATCCAGTCGTCGATGTTCTCGCCGGGTGGCAGCCTCACCACACTGCGCAGGTCCAGGCCCGACTTAAGCGACGCCTGTGCCTTCTTGTACAGCTCAAAGCGCTGCGTACCTGGCTCGAAGCGCTTCCGGGGCCGGAACGTCTTGTCCTTGGCAAACACCTGCTTCAGGCACAGCGCCATAGCCAGGTCGGGCAGAAGCCGGGTGTCCAGGGGCACGGACTTGAGGATGCCCTGCCAGGGACAAGAACATGAGGAGGGGTACGGTGGTCAGGGCCTAATCAAACAGGCTTTGACTTCCCTCTCGCCTCTCAGCCTTGGGTCAACTCTGCATCCTCTGCCTAGAATCTAAATCCTCATCTCCTGTGTCCAGAGCCCCCTTTCCAGGCTACCTTGCTAAGTTCTGCTAAGCCCCCGCAGCCCTCCCATCTGGCTTTGTTTCCTTGGTGTTTTCATTACATCTCAGGAGGTCTGGGCTTGGGCTCCAAACAGGTGCTCGTCAGACTTGGTGTTGACATTAGAGAGGTTGGAGAGGGGCCCTGCGGCCCACTAGGAGACAAGGGCCGGATGAGATGACATCTGAGAGCCCCACATGCCAGCTGGTGCAGGGTGGGACAGCCCAGTTGCATTGTACTGGGGGCAGGGGGAGGGCCTTGGCCTTCGGCTTCCTCTGGGATATCCCGCAGTCCATCCGGCCACCGGGGATTCCCAGGGAGCAGGAGGGACTTTTCTACCAAAAATGTCCTTTCCTTTTTTTCTGTTGCCCAGAAAGAGGAAAGGGCTCTCACGTGGCCAGCTGGGCAGCCTCTGAGTGTAGCTGCAGGCGCTGGAGGAGGGGGAGGGCGGCAGGCCCAGAAGGGTGCTGGTGCTCCTGACAGTGGCTGGAGATCCTTCTCCCAAGCCAGCCTCCTCCAGCCCCAAACTGAACAAGTCACTGGCCCCTCCCCATGACACTCAGTAGATGTTCCTAGAGCACCTACTATGTGCCTGGCACTGGGAGGTTGGAGAATACAGTCAGATCCATCCAGCTGGCCCCAGCTAGAGCTCAGACGTATTTGCTTTGCCGCTTAGAACTGAAGGATCCCAAATTTGGAACGGAGTTCGGGGACAGCTATCCAAACTCCAGGCCCAGAGGCGGAGTCCTGGGTTCTAGTCCAAGGCCCACCACAGGCTTACTGGGTGACCACTGTAGTATCATGGATTTGGCTCATACAAATCCTGGGTCACTCTGATGCAGCCAGGTTTCTAAGACTCTCAGGGTAGTCATGTCAGCTCCCCTGTGAGTGTGTGAGCTATCGGGAAATGCCAACCCAGGTACCTGCTGAGAATGGAATTTAGCCACACACTGAACACTGACCCTGACCCCAGATTGGGCACTAAGGCTGAGTATACGTTAAACACTTAGCTCTGGATCCAGGTTGAACTCTGACCTGGTCCTGACCCTGCTCAGTTTGAGCCCTGATCCCAGCCCTACACTGAGGCTTGAATACAGCCACAGACAAAACTCAGAGATGCAGAAGGTCATTTCATCCATACTGACTCATCAACTTCTCACCCAAAGAAATCGCTAGGGTGGGTCCTGAGCTTCCTGAGCAAAGAGAAGGCTTCTGCGCTTCACTTGCTGTCTCCATTTTAAACTCTGCTCGGGGCAGGTGCTTCCAAAATCATTCACATTGTAATGAGGTAGGGTTCCTGGGTTCTCCACCTTTGCATGGCCCCCTTTACGGACATTTACAAATAGACCCTCATCCTGGCATTCCACACCTCACCCCACCTTTCCTGCTCCCCCTTCCCACCTCCCTACACTAACCACCCTGGGTTTCCTCCTGATCCCTGAACAGGTCCCCCACCCTCCTGGCTCTGTGTGTTTTTTTACACTGGTCCTACTGAATGCTGCCTCCTCTACTGAACCCAGATCCCCTTCTCCTTGGGCAGAGGCTGCTCTTTGGCCATTGCTGTCCCCACTCCACCCCTAGCTTAGGATGGGCCTGGTCCAAAGTCATTGCTCAGGTGTTAAGGAAAGCTTAGATCCAACAATCTTAGACTTGAAATAGCCCTGAGAAATCAACTGGCCCAACCCACTTATATAGAGGGGGAAACTGAGGCCCAGAAAGAGGACTTAAGGAGCCTGCCTTCACATAGCAAGTTACAGGCAGAACTGAAAACTGGGATGAGGTGGGACTCAGGCCATGACAAGGAGTAAATAACCATTTTCTTGCACTGCCTGGTCACTGGTCTGGTGGAGATAGGGAAGCATTTTCCCCATCAAACAGACAAACTTGCTTCCTGCCCCCACATTCTGACCCCCTCAGAGCAACTTGAGTGTTCTGACCAGTGAGCTAGAGTCTCACCTTCCTGCTGTAGAACTTCAGGGACTGGTTCTTTCCCCAGGAAAATGTAAGCTTGGGAGTGGGCATAGGGCAGGTGCCCTTCTATCCATGCCTTTTATCTCTCTTCACTCCCCACCTCCATGCCCTCACTGAATTTCTGTCTCTCATAGAACCTCTGTCCCCCTCCCTGAACCACTGCTGTACCCCTCCTTATCCCCCATTTCCTAATACTGGGTGTCCTTTTACCCTAGAATGGCCAGTGGCTTACTCACTCCCTGGGTGGGCATCTAGTCTTCCCAAATGAAGACACCAGGGTGACCCTGCCTGTTTCTGACATTTAGCCCCCTGCCAAGGCCACACCTGCCACTCCTTGGGCCCAGATCTCAGCCAGAGGATGGCCCCAGTTCGAACCCAGAATCCATCCTGGGAAGCCCTCCAGGACAGAGATCCGAGAGAAAAGAAGAGGCGAAGACTCCACGCTCTCCGCGTGGTGCTTGGCCGCCCACGCCCCGCCTCCCTCCTTCCGTCCTCCGCCCCCGCCCTGGCCTCTCCCTGCATCCCCGACGTCCTCGCCCCCGCCCCAGCTGTCAGGCCTAGACAGGTCGTAGGACCCAGAGGAGCCGGCCTGACATTTCCGCTCCCGAAGACACGCCCCCTCACCCCCCACCCCCAACCTCGACTTTCGCCGCTCTGAGCCTCCACCCCGGACTGAGGACTGTGGCCAGCCTGCCTTCTGGCCGGGGTGTCTCCGGACGGTGCCACGCCGGGACAGCCGAAGAAATGAAAGTGGAAGCAAGGCTCGTGCTTCCGTGTGCGCGGCAGGGGCGCGGGGGGCGCGGGCGCGCACTCACGGGGTCCGCTTGGGCGGGACAGCTCGAGTTCTCCTCTGGCCGCGGGGTCACATCCCCAGCCCGCTGGATCACCCTCCTTCTGCCAGTCCTCTTGCCGTGCGTGTTCTCTCGCCTGTCGGTCTGTCCGTCTGCCTGGCTTGCCGGCCCCGCAGCCGCCCTCCACCCCTGGAGTCGACGCCAGCTCCGCCCCGGCCCCGGCTCTGGCCCCGCCACGCTGCGGCCACGGGGCGGGGAGGGGGCGGGGAAAGGGGACTCCCTCCCCACCCCAGTACACAGACACACTTACTCCCGCCTTCCCGTTGGGCAAAATAGTAACTGAGCAGCCCGCCCTCTCGTGTCTCCTCGAACCTCTAGACTGTAAAATGGGGACTTCTGTCTGCAGCAGAAACAAAAATGATGCTAGATATATGGTGGTTTCCTTGCCCTCCTAGAATGATCTGCGTCTCACTCATTCCTAAACTCAGTAAGGGACTGGGGCTGTCTATCCACTCCCATATCCTCAGCTCCGGGGGCTGAGGATAGCAGGCACAGTGAGGGCACATAGCAGGCACTGAAAACTCGATAAATGAATGAATGAATAAATGAATGAATGCGTGAATGAATGAATGCGTGGAAATCATGAGCTCAGTCCTTCACCCCTGAGAGGACTGGCTCTGAAGAGTGCTCAAAGAACAGACTGAGGGAAGACTTGGTCAGGCTGGGCTGACTCCTCCCTCCTCACCCAGAGTCACCCCATTTCCCACCTCCAACCTTTGTCCCACTGGTCCCACTTTGGACTACTTTCTTTCCCTCCATCCTTCCAATCAAACCCTTCAAGACCTAATCACTCTCCCTACTTTTCTGAGTTCCTACCCTGACCATAGACAGATATCCCACCCCAGCATTCAATGCACACTGTGGTCCCCAGGCCCAGGGACCAGGTGGCCGGCTCTGTCTGGGATGGAAGGGAAGATTGGAGGCCTTCTGGGCTAGGAGGGCAAAGACAGACAGCTGGGCTGCACAAGTCGCCCTGGAGAGGGGTGGGAGGTGAGCAGGTGCAGTAGGAGAGAGCTGGGGGCTGGAGGTGGGCATTTACTATGGCACAAATTCCCCACTGGGCTCCACTTGGGTGTGGATCTTCTGCTTGCTCGATGGCGTGAGAGCACACTGGATCCTTAAGAATTCCAGCTCATAGAACTGAGGATGTATTCTTTTGTCGAGCACCTATTTTTACCCCAGTGTAAAGTGCTCTGTATTTTTATGTCTGAGTCTTAACTTTGGCCTGAATCCCTTATAAACAAATATTTGCATATAGAGGGAATTCAAATCTACTTCATTTATTTGATATTCTAATCAATACCTTTTATTGAACATGACTGTGTGCACTGAGAGCAGGGGATTGGATGATGAAGCTGACCCTGTCACTGACATCATGTGCTGACAAGTCAGCAGAGGGGACAACATACACAGAAAAGGCAAGGCAGAGCTCAGTCATCCAGAAGTGAGAATGTGGTTATGGACTGATGGCTGAGCACTTTGCAAGAGTGGGGTTATCTGCAGGAAACACACGGAACACCCAGACTGGGTATTTTGAGAAGAGTTTGATGAAGGCACTATTTATAAGTGTAGTCAGGATATAGGGAAACAACATGGATAGTGTATCACCAAAGTGCTGGTATAAGAGCAGGGAGTAGCTGTCAACCCTAGACTGACGGAGTGTGGGGAGGGAGTGGTAGAAGTGGGAGCTATGAGGAGGGGGCTACTGGGGCTAAGGTCAAGGGGCATACCCAGCCCACAGCAATCATACAGGGAAGGACTAGGGGTAAATAAGGGACCTCACCCCCCGCCATCCCTCTGATCCCTGGCCAGGTTTCCCCATTAGCTGAATCCTACCAGAAGTCAAGGACAAGGGAACTTGTTGCTGCCGCCCATGCAGGTTGGCCTCCTGGGCTCAGAGTTGGATGGAGGAGGGTAAAGAGGCAACTGGAGGAGCAATGTGGGGTCAGGGCCGACGTCACAGAGAAAACGACTTAGAAACTGCTTGTGCTTTCCTTATCATTCAGTTCTAAGTATTTCATAAATTTCACTGTAATTTCTTCTTTAACTCTTGGATGATTTAAAAGCGTGATTTTTAGTTTCTCAGCCTATGGGAGGTTTATGTTTTTCTTGTTGACTTCTAATTATGTTGCATTGTGGTCAGAGATCATGGTCTGTAAGATTCTTTGGAATTTGACGTGACTTCCTCTGTGGCTTTGTACATGGTCATTTTCTGTACCTCTGAGCTGGGTTTTATAGGATGGGCAGGAGCTTATTTGGTGAAGAGTGAAAAGCGCAGAATCTTACACTGTGGGAAATATAGATGTCAGAAGAAACTTCAGAAGTTCCCAGCTCATCTGCAGAGTCCCTGGGTGGGTGTGGGATGGGAGGCAGGTGAAAGGGTTAGGGGAAGCCAGAGAGAGCCCGGATCCCTCAAATACCTGTACCTTCTTTCTACTGCTCTCAGTCTGAGCTAGAAAAACCATGTTCTTGCAGGAGGCTCTGCTGGGGCCGAGAACAAGGGAGAACAAGGTCCTAGCATTTGCTGTGTAACCTTGGGTTAGTCCTGCCCTCTCTGATGGCATGCTGTAACCCTACAGCACTGCACACTACAGGACAGGTGCTGTTCCCTGCCATTGTGTCCTGAGTGTTGTAAGTGGTTCCAGAAGGGCTCAAACAAGGCTCCTTCTCTGAAGCTTAGCAGGAGCCCTGAGGACCTAAGAGAGTATGTGTCCTCTTCCACTGCACAGCCCAGGCCAAGCCTCCCCGACGGGAGCTCCAGGTGGCAGTGGAGTGTTGTCCAGGGTCAGGAGACCTGGGCTCCTTCTGTCCTGCTGTGTGTCTCTGGGAAAGCCCCTGCTCCTCTCTGGGTCTCAGTTCCTGCATCTGCACCACAAAAGCATTTTCTAGCCTTACCAAGTATCATTTCAAGTGCCTTATCAGAACCAGCTTCCTGCTCCTTCCCCCTCTGGGCCTGTACCCAGTTACTCCACTGATACAGAGTGGCCTCTTTCTGGGGACTCCCTATCCCCTCCTATGCCAGGAAAGAACCCCCATCCCCCACCCCTCCTGGAATGAGCTACTGTTTTCCCAATTCTCACCAGGCATCTGGCAACTACTATAGTCTGATAGAGCCCATCTTTTCCTTACTCTCTCCCAAGAAAGAGTTCCTATTTCAGCTTCTGGTCCCCTCCTGGCCCAGAAGGCAGGATCTTCCTTCCTGGCCCATTGAGGAGAAAGCCACAGACACCCTTAGGCAGTAAGAGGAACTGAAGTTAGACTTCCTTTGGCTTGAAGAAGACAAGGTTCAAGGGAATATGACAGGGGAAGACAAGGTTGACGAAAATGTACACTGAAATTCTGTGTGACCTTGGACAAGGCACTTATTCTGTCCAAGCCTATTGCCCCTTCTCTAAAATAGAAACAACAACATATGCCCCACAGAAGAGCTGTGAGGATCGAATGTGATAGCTCTTGTGAACAGCAAAATGCTGTGGCCAGTCTGTTTCGGGGGTGCTGCCTTCAAGCATCCAGCAGGTGTTTATGTGGAAGAGGGATTGAGTTTGTCCCAGGGTCCTGGAGGGCAGTGGGCAGAGACCCAGGACAACATGCGGAGACCCTGGGCCCACCAGAGCTGTCCAGCCATGCAGCCTGGATGACTGTGCTCACTTCTCAGGAGGGAGGTGTGCAAGCAGAAGTGTGCAGCAACCTGGGACATGGCTTCAGAGAGCTTCTGTCCCTCTGAAGAGTAGGAGGGCCCTCTTGCCTCTGAGGACCTCAGACTCCAGCATTCTCTGCTCCAAGGTCCTTCTCCCTCCCAGCTCCCTGCCTACCCCTTGAGTTGGAGGCATTGCCCTCACCTCTCCAGGTTTAGGGTCTTCCATATTGGGAAGGAGACCGCTGAGGTTGTAATAGAAGCCTGATGTGCATAAGTACCTTAAGACAATTTCACAGCCTCCCCCCAACCTGACCCTCAACATGGCCCTGGTAGGCATTGTCCTTCCAACAACTTGGGTTAGTTCCAAGCCCAGGGCTGCCCCAGAAGTGGAGGTGATAGTTGGGGAAGTGTGGGGGCAGGGAGGGAGGAGGTGGTTTCACCAGTATACCAGGCCCAACCTTCCATAGAACCCACTGTGAAGGCTGCCCAGGAAGTTCTGTCCAACACTACCCCCTCCTCTACCACTGTG